AAATTTCAATTTATTTTTATTCATGATTATTTTGCCTGCATGTAGGTAAGTGCACCCATGTTGTGCACTACCCATAGAGGCCAGAACAGAACCTAAGGTCCCCTAAAACTGGAGCTTTAGACAGTTGTTAGCCACCATATGGGTGCTAGAAATGGAATCTGGTTCCTCTGGAAGAGGAATGAGGGCTCTTACCTGCTGAGCTATCACTGCAGACCCCAAAATGTTTGTTTGTTTGTTTATTTGTTTGAGACAGTGTCTCCCTGTAGCCCCAGCTGACCTGGAACTGGCTATCTAGATCAGGCTATCCTGAATATCACAGAGGTACACCTGTTTCTGCCTCCCAGAGCTGGAATGAAAGGCATGTGCCACCATGGCCAGTCTCAAAAATGTTTTTAATAGCACTTTTAAACACTGTATTTTGCCTTTAGTTCTCCTACTACACAGTGTAACTCCTATGACATGGAACTTAGTTTGTTTTGGGGGTTTTGTTGGGCACTGGGGGATTTCTGCTGTGGAATTAGACCAAAGATCAAATCCCAGTCTTGCTCTTTACTGTGACACCTTTAAGTGATTGGTTGACCTTACAGGCTTCAGGAAATTATACTATTAGAACTGGCTTATGGCAATATTGCTAAAATTGAAATGAAATTATCACTGAAGCATTTAGCAAAGATGTACTATTAGAACTGGCTTATGGCAATATTGCTAAAATTGAAATGAAATTATCACTGAAGCATTTAGCAAAGATAGACAAGTGGTTCTAATGTTAATCATATTATCAGAACAATGAAATCAATTCCCAAGGATCCAGAGTGATCAAAAGGACGGGCCATGCCATCATTGTTTAATGTTTAATTTTACATAATTTTTCTCAAATGTGAGTGTACTTTCAGTCACCTAGGCTGCCTGTTAATGATGTGACTCCCTGTACCTATTCCTGACAATTCTAACTCTGAAAAGACTGACCAGAAATCTACATATACAATAAACATTCTAGGGGAGAATTTGCAATACTTTAAGTGCAGGTCTTTTAAATAAGAGCATTGAGTTAGTTTGTCTATAAAATATAATGCAACTGAGGTGAGGTGCTTATAAGGAAAATTCAAGTAGATAATGGCAGAATAAGTATTTTGCCAAGATGTTTCAGGTTCGGATGTTCCGTGACCCATTATTTTCCCTCTTTCTACTTAGGATGTCTAGGCAGGGAAGAACAATCATCTTCTCCATTAATCAGCCTCAGTATTCCATCTTCAGACGTTTTGATAGCCTCACCTTAGTGGCCAAAGGAAAAGTCCTGTTTCATGGGCCTGCACAGGACGCTTTGGAGTACTTCAAATTAGCAGGTATGGTCACGTTTCCATGTGGCAGCTCCTTCATCCACAGGTGGAAGAGAGCCGGGCACACTGGAATACTGTTCTATCCTTGTGCAGAATTATTCAGGTTTCTACACTCTAAAATAACTGGTTAGTTTGGTGTCAGAATTTTGATTAATTTTGCAGGACTTGCTTGTTACTTAGGTTTATTTTTCTGTCCTGTCTGAGTATGCATGCCTGTGATTGAGTGCTTTTTCTGGGCCATGTGTGCTCTGCTTCCCAGTTATGATGACTTCATAACTAACATGCTAGACTCAGGCCAGTTATTCCATCTCTTGAACAGTCTGGGAAAGGCCCAGTATCATTGCATTCTTGCCCACGTAACAGGTGGTGGTTTCTCATTTTCCTCTAGTATGTGATCTTTCTCTGCAGGTTTATGAGGTGCTACTTAAC